CCCTCGATGGTCATACAAATTAATCAACCAGTTGGGACAATATTTTAGAAAACGACGAAAAGAACATGGCGTACTGTACGGGCTGGATCACCAGCTTCAAACAAGAAGATTTAAACGTATAACATTTTTTAAGTCCTTCGGGCCTAACTTTTAAAAGTTTTAAGAAGTCTTATGGCGACGATTATAATTTTTTTGTAAAATTGAATAGAGATTCGGGTTTTATAAGTTATTTGGAAGAACCAGATTTTTGTCGAGCCGTAATCAAAGGATCTATGCGCACTGAAAGGCGTAAAGTGGTTATTTGAGGACCGTCTCTAGGAAATGCCCATTCCCCGCTTTTTTTCAAAAAAATAGAAAATTTTCCTTTTCCTATATCCGACCTAATGAAACTTCTTTCTAATATTAGAGATTAGTTGGCTATAAAGTCAGAATTAGAAATTTCAGATCAAGAATTTCAAAAAAAAAAAAAAACTACCAGGAAACGGGAATAGAAATATGGGAGAACATTCCACATAAACAAAAAACAAGAAGTATCCTGTTAATAGCTCAAGCAATTTTTAGAAAATATATTAAATTACCCTTATTAATAATAGCTAAGAATATTGGCCGTATTTTATTAGGGCAATCTCCGGAATGGTATGAGGATTTSCAAGATTGGAATAGAGAAATTTATTTAAGATGCARCTTGGATGATATTCAATTCTACAAAAAAAAATTCCTAAAAATTGGTTAAAAGAAGGTTTTCAGATAAAAATCCTATATCATTTTCATTTGAAACATTGGCACAGCTCTAAGCGACGACTCTCTAAGAGAGATCTAAAGAAACAAGATGATTTTGATTCTTGTTTTTTAACAATTTTCAAAATGAAAATGGAATATCCTTTTGGTCCTCTTCGAAAAACACCTTCCTTTTTTGAACCCATTTTGAAAGATAGACTTTAAAGTCGAACCCAAAAAATTGAATTTTAGAGTTTGAAGAGTTTTTAAAAAAAACAACAAAGAAAAAAGCAAAAGCATTCTTATCTGTAAAACGAATAATAAAACAACTTTTCGAAGGAAAGACAATTCCATTATTTATACCGAGATAAATATATGAATCAAGTGAAACTAAAAATCTATAATCAGCAATAAGATAATTAATGAATCAGTTAGTCAAATTCGATCTACAAATTGGACAAGTTATTCACAAGTGGAAGAAAAAAATGCAAAATATGATTGATAGAAGAAGCACAATCAGAAATCAAATTGAAATAATGAAAAAAGAGAGAAAAAAAAGGAAGTTCAGGAATAAAAAAAATAATAATAATAGAGGATCACCGCCAAAAAATGAGAAACTATTTAAAAGAAAAAATATTCAATTAATAGCTAAATTTTTCATTGAAAAAATATACATAGATATCTTTCAATGTATCATTAATATGCGCATAACCACTCTACAACTTCTTATTGCATCACCAAAAAAAATTCTTGATAAATACATTTACAATAATKAAACAAATSAAGAAAGCATTAATAAAACAAAACAAAATAAAATTGACTTTATTTGGCCTATGACTATAAAAAGGGCTTTTGATAATCTTATAAATAGTAAAGAGAATTCCATATTTTTTTGACTTATCTTACTTGTCACAAAACTATATAGTTTTTAAATTATCACAAAGCCAAATTATTAACTTTAATAAGTTAGCTTTTTAGAACTAGAAGATTTTATTGTGTATCCATCCTTAACATATTTGGTTTCAGGATCTTATTAAGAAATACTTTATCTTTACCATTACAATATTCTTTTAGCACCAAAACATTTTTCACATTAAAAACTAACACTCTTTTCTTCATAGTAAACCTCAAAAACTTCACAAAAAGTGTATATTATTTTAGTTTATAATTACGATATATAGCACCAAAAAGTCTAGATAAATTTTCAAGCTTCTTAAGAAAGGCGAAATGCTCCCCACGTTACGACCCAACTCTTACATTAAAACTGATTTTCCTACGTATTTTAGTGAGGTTGAGGTAGCTTCCAATTTTCCCATGCAACTTCCAGGAAACATCCTTATGGCCAGAATTTCATTAACAAAGTGCCAAACACAATACCAACAATGGATCACGATCTGTAACTTCGTTGTCATCTCCCCTGCCTTCTTTCCTCGAAGGCATACATTTCTTTAGGGTTTAATTACCTATATAAACGCATACCCATCCTATTATCTGTCCCGTGATCAACTTCAATTCCATAGAAAATCTACGGTAATCCGAGGAAAATTAATTCATGGGTTTGAATAATATCCTTGTTGTCGAGTTCAAAGATCTTTTTCCATCAATGATTGAAAAATTGGGTGCGGAAGGATTTATGAACGAGTTGTACAAAGGGTTTGAATCTTTGGAGGACAGAGACACGAAAGGATTCATAACGTTTGAGAGCTTGAAGAGGAATGCATCGTGGATAGGGTTGGAGAAGATGAACGACGATGAATTGAGATGTATATTGAGAGAAGGAGATGTTGATGGAGATGGTAAATTGAGTGAGATGGAGTTTTGTGTTCTTATGTTTAGATTGAGCCCTGGGTTGATGGATGGTTCACACAGATGGTTAGAATCTACTATTCTGATGGAATTTATGTAATTTGGCTCTTACTTGTTTATATATTCTATAACATATATGGTGTAGTTGAATATGGTCAACCTTTATCATAATGTGTATGTTCCGCTTACCATTATCCTACAAATAAGATGAGGGAATTTAGAAAGATCTGTTGAAATTTTTGAAAATACAGATGTTAAGCATTTGTTTACCATATTGCTCTTTGGTGCAAGTTTGTGAGATTAGATAAGTAAACGCGCTTGGCAGTTTTGATAGGATATATAAAGAACTAGTCCTTTTTTGCTAGCAAGAAATTAGAACTTATTAGGATATAGTTTCTCAATATGCAACAAACATGAATCGTGTTAAATATGCACTTGCTTAGTATTAGAGTTGTTCATGGGAGGACGACCCGTTAGACCCGTCCCACCCGACCCGTTAGAGATACGGGTTTGGATAACCATTATCAAAAAATGGATGGGCTCGGGTTTGTTTCTTAAAATTAACGGCCGGACATGGGTAATATAAAAATAAATATGGACAGGCCTATCCAGCTCATTTATATTTTAAAATTAACATTTTTTTTACTATTAATTAAAACTATACTAGTATAATTTAAAATTAAATTATTATAGTTATAGGAGGGACTTTTTGGTTATTCTTGATAACCAAAAGGCTAAGCTAGTAAGCTTCATCATTACTTACCGGCACATTTAATAATTATTCTTTTATTTTATTATTTTTTTAATTGATTCTAAGTTGCTAACAAAGAACATAACTCACGTCTCTCAATTTTCAGTACTACATACTTTTCTTTTCTCCTTTACTCGTTCTCTCTCTCTCTCTCTCTCTCTCTCTCTCTCTCTCTCATCTTCAACATACAAGAATCCTATGAAGAGTTACACTTTTTAGGCCCGTTAGCCTATGGGCAAGTCCGGCCCGTTTATAAGGCGGGCAATGGCAAGTTGTCAAGTCCGAAAAAAGGGTTTGGTTTTATAATATTAGGCCCATTAGACAAAAAACAAGTTAAGCCCGGCCCAGCCTAGGCCTGCAAATGATCACCTCTACTTAGTATATGTAACTTATTTTGGTTTAAATCTTGAGGCATCACATTTGATGTAGAGTGTTTGGGGAATAGTTCTCATTGATGACGACTAAATTATGAAAGAAAAACCCTGAAAGTATATAAATAGTCCGGCTAAAAGCCATGGACGGACCCATAGAAGGTCATACGGTGGCACGTGCCACCGTATTATCTCTCTTCCTAAAGGCTAAAAAGTTTACATTTATAAAAGGTGGAACCATATCGTTTTAAAAGGTATCATCGTATGATATTTAAAAGTTCAAGAAGGTGCAACCATACAACGTAATCAACCAAAAAATCAAAAAGAACTCTTGAAATAAGCCAAAAAACCCAAAAAAAAAAATACTCTTGAAATCAACCAAAAAGAACTGATAAAGTCCCTCGAAATACAAAAAAAAAAAAAAACTAAAAAAATACCTCGAAATCAAGCCAAAAAAAATTAAAAATCCCTCGAAACAGTGAAATTAGGCTAAAAATACATTGAACGATATTGAACGTTAGTAAAAACATGAAGACACATCGATAAAAACCATGCTTTTGGTAATTATATTTTGTCTATATTATATGGTGTCATCATATAAAAAAATTCATGGGTCCGTCCTGCTAAATGCCCAAAAGCCTAAATAAGATGGCATGCCATACACCGTTCAAGTCTGTGAAGAAAAATCTTTCATCGTTATAAAAGCTAGTGGATGTTTGGTTCGGTTCGTGTGAGAAATGAAAACTTCGTGAGGAAAGCACTTTGTTTGTGAATGTTCACATAAGTTAACATGTTAACATACTTACCATTTCAAGTTATGGTATGTCAATGTATGTTCATTTATTTGGACTTATGTTAACATTTTATTATAACATTCTATGCTTGTTACAAAATGTTATTTCTAATAGAAGGTGTGGTACTAACCTAATGTAGATAATATGGCTTTTTATTGTTTTATGTCTGCCTTATGGATATATTGAGTGGGCAGTGGTCATTTTTTATATGTTGCTGCATCCTTGCTTCTGGACCTGTTGTTTCTTTTTATCATGTCTTTATTTTAAAATGGGAGATATTGAGGTGGAAAATCTATCTTGAGGAGGCTATTCTCAGTTGGTTTCAATTACGTATGTTTTATGGTGTTATATGGTTAATTTATGTGATTGTTGTCCATTTTAGAACTTCGAATTTTCTTAATGCAATGGCCTAAAGGGAAAAAAAACGCATCACAATGATAACAACAATGCGGAATACACCTTCGTTATACAAAACTTTCCCTACTTATATGAACATATGAGGATGGATGCAAACAAATAGCTATACTAAATGCAATAATAATCAACCCTCCAAATCAGAAATAAGCAACAAAGATAGCACACATGTAACACACAAATTTTAGCGTGGAAACCTCTCAAGGCGAGAGTAAAACTATGGGATCCTTAGACCGCTTAAAGTCTACTACCACCAATGAGCAATACAAAAGTCATTTCTAGATAAACCTAAAGGCAAACAACAATTATTATGCTTTTGGAAACAGTCATCAAGAAGTATGGAATCAAAAAAAAAGGGAAAAAAGGAAGAAACATCACCTAGAAAACAACATTCAGTTGAACTAAAAGAACCACTTCTGGATCGCCAAAATCGATCTCCATTGTTCATAATATAGACAAAGATTTCGTGAAGCTACTATCCAAAAATCACGACGATCCAACGGTTCAAACTCTGGAAATTGACAAAAAGGTGTGGCTGCGCTTGCATGAAAAGTGTAGTCGAACTTTTCTATTCTCTCTAACTTATGTAAACTTTTTCTTCTCATACAAAAACCCTAGGATAAAAGACTATATATATAGCTTGGATCAGACCACTATTGTGGGCCATTTATCTTTTTCTTATGGGCTAGAAATAAATAAATAAAAGCCAACAAATCTCCCCATTTCTGCCTATGAGGAAGAGTTCGCTATCCCGGCGATTGAGCAACATACCTTGAGCTTTTTTTCCCTTGCTAAGACCTTTGTCAAATTATCAGAACCATTATCATCAATACGAATATTATCAAGTTCAAGCAATCCATCTTCAAGAGCTTCTTGAATCCAATGATACTTCATCTTGATATGTTTTGTTCTTCCATGAAAGGTTGTTGTTCTCCCAGATGATTAGAAGAAACAATGAAATAAAATTAACACAATGGAAATAGCAAATCAGTCGGCTTGTCTATTGATTCAAACGTGGAATACAAAATACAATGTTTTCTCTTTGGCGGCTGCTAGAGGTGGCCAAAATTCGGTCCCGGGCCGGGCCTTAACCGGTCCCTACCGGGCCTAATCGCGACAAAAACCG